CTGTACTACGGCACTACACGCCATTCACAATAATCAAAAATGCCCACATGACAAAAAAGAATTTCATCAACGGAGCCCCGGGATTTTTTCTTCTGTACTTATGCATTATGGAGTCATAGCATAAGGGAGACGGCACGGTAGACTTTCAGCCTAAATCATAACGAGGGCCAGCTGGGCAGCTCAAAAGAGAGCTCTATGCACTATTGGCAGAGTGGTATACATGAATAGAGAGTGACCACCCAGTGCGTGAAGCTTTTCGTGTCACCCTAGAAAATTTCAAAAATTGATAATGTGGGTTCAACCCCGGGCTGCCAGTGACAGTTGCCCTTACTGCCTTAGGGGCAAGTGCGATACATACATGCTCGCATATAGTATCGCTTGACTGACCCATGCTTGGGGCCAGTGGGTCAAGTCCGCGATCATGAGTTGCATAAACCACAGATCATGTAGAATCTCCATGGATCCAATCTGTGTACTGTAAAAGCAGAAATTTTCGGTGGTGCAATATTTTCAGAATTCTCCAAAATCGGCGGTTCGGTGGAGGGAAATTTTCGGTAATACCCGCTTTCCAGGTAAGGGTGCTAGTACTACTCAGTAGTACCGAACAATTTTGGTGCTTTTTTTCGGTAAAAATTGTCGGCACCGAAGTTACCGAAAATAAAACACCACTGAAAATTTCTGCTTTTACAGTACATCATTTTGGGTATTATGATCTCGTGTTGTTTCCTTGGGTGCTACGACTCCCTCCCTGACATGCATTGATCCATGGCACGGTATGATTTGGGCAATTTCAGCCAATCAGTAGACGTTCTGAGAGGGGCATATTCAACGATACACCCCGCTCAGTTCACATGGGTCGCGCCAAGAGTGAATATTGGGAGGAGTCTTGGGAAAGTGCCCTGGGAGAAATGGATAGCACCATTGTATACATGCACTGCATTCCCCATAATTTCCTCGTGTTATGTCCTCGGGAAAATATTTAACGTATACCCTTCATATACTCATAGAATAATCCAAATGCATCTGCAGTCAACCACGGGTATAACAACCCACGGATAGTGACACTATCTTCAGACCTAGTAACAATATAGCCGTATTTTATAAACCCCGTGAATGACGACAACTCCCAAATAGCAACACTTTTCTCATGCCCGATCAAGGGTCGTTCGTTACTGGCAAAGTTAGCTGGACATCATATCATGTAGTCATTATTATTTCAGGCAGGGACAATGAAATACACCCCCGCCCCCATTCCTGCAGAGGGAACAGTGCTGTGTCCAGGTCGCATGCAGCATGGAGGTGCTAGTAAGCCGCTGGCATATTTTCTCTTGTGGATCGATGTACAGTGCGTGACAATGCTTCCACAGTGGTGGTGGTGGTGGTGGTGGCAGGAGCATACTGCACTGCAGGGCATTACAGCACTGGCATACTATTATTTTCTCTTGCAGACGTGCCGTTCACGACAATGCTTCTATAGTGGTGGTCACGGTGGTGGTGTGGTGGTGGTGGTCACGGTGGTGGTCATGGTGGTGGTGGTGGTGGTGGTGGTGGCGGCGGCGGCGGTGGTGGTGGTGGTCATGGTGGTGGTGGTGGTCATGGTGGTGGTGGTGGTGGTGGTTGTGGTGCTGCTGGTGGTGGTTGTGGTGCTGCTGGTGGTGGTTGCGGTGGTGGGAGCATTCTGCACTGCAGGGCATTAAAGCAAGCTCGATTGTGCATGCATGGTGGCGGTGGGAAAGAGGAGCCAATGAAAGTGTGTACATATTTTTGTTGAAAGCACGAGAATTCAAAGAAAGCTGGCTGCTTCCTCTATTCCCATGATCGGCCAGTGCCTGCAGCACGAACAGTACATTGTATTACATGTATGTGCATAGAGAGACAAATAAACACTAACCTGAGCATGGGTACCGCTTGTATTCGTGGTCAGGAAAGTGAAAGTACGAACGAAGGAGAAGAAGATTGTTGACCATGGCGAACAACTGCATATCCAGAGGGCACACAGCTTGCCAGAATGGGTCGGCTACATCTTCGCTAATTTTCTATCCTAACAACATTCAGCTTCGAGGTCAAGGACGACGGCATTTTTGGAAGGAAATTTCGAATTTTGGAGAAGAAGCTTGCTTTCGGAAAAATGTTCCTTTCACGCAAGGCAGCATGCCAGGTCAGGTGTGTGAACCAGGTGAACTGTGTCGGCAGATCGACGTTGACGTTCCAGGCCGACAGTTTTTTGACCAAGCCGTGAATCGCCCTCGCTCGGACTCGCCCGGCTACGAAGGAGTAATTTTACAACTCTTCAGGCCAGCTACAGGTCTCTGATGGTCAGCTGCAAGTGACGGATATCGGTCATTTGCAGCCACTACTTAGAGCCTCCTGGTCGTTGCAATCTGATACATAATATACCTCCGCGGACGATGTTTGCCTCGGCCAGAAAGTGAAGCACGCTACAAGTTGTAGGCCGGCGCGGCCGGATCTGCTCGATCCACGGCGCTGTGCTTGTCTTCAGGGCAGGGAGTCCTAAAATACCAATATTTTACAACTCGTTGTTGACACCATTATCCGAAACTGGTGGCGAAGGAAGGATAAACATGATTGTATGTCTGTCAGACTCAGTACAGGGGTGGGGAGTTGAGTGTGTGTGTGTGTGGGGGGGGGGGGGGGGGGGAGGCGTGTGTATGTGCACATGTGCTTGTACTTTTGTGTGTGTTTGTACAGTGTTTGTGTGTGTGCTTGTGTGTGTGCGCGCGAACGTGTGTGTGCATTTTTGTGCACAATTCCGTTATGAAGTACAAATGATAGGTTTACCTTTTGTACACTCGCCAAGACTTCCGTTTCCTAAACGGCTCAAGTCACCGCGTACTCAGTATACGAGTAGAAAAGTGTTGAAATTATCAAGATTTATAAATAACGACCTGCAACCATGTACAATGTAGATAGATAGGGAACACACATTGATTGTTTTTAAAAGAATCCAGGCATTATCATGAATCATGGAACGAGTGCGTAATAATGCTCTATGTTGCGTTTTGACGATGCTGAAGGAAGGGAGCCGTCGCGATTTACTCACAACACACGCACAGAAGTCCACTCGACTGCAATTTCTGACACAAATTCATAAATCCACGAGTACGCCGAGGAAGCTCAGCGGATCTCCACAAGAACTTTCGCCCATCACCTGCAATGGAATATGGGCTGTATGATACGACCAGTGGTTAACACGGGAAGTGGCGTCATTTTCCACAAATCTCGTTTCATTCACAACCATTTGACTGCAATTCAGTGCAATTTCTGCCGCAAATTCAACTCCACGAGTACGAGGAAGCTCAGCGGATCTCAACACGAACGTTCGCCCATCACCTGCAATGGAATATGGGCTGTATGCTACGACCAGCGGCTAACACGGGAAGTGGCGTCATTTTCCACAAATCTCGTTTCATTCACAACCATTTGACTGCAATTCAGTGCAATTTCTGCCACAAATTCAACTCCACGAGTACGAGGAAACTCAGCGGATCTCAACACGAACGTTGGCCCATCACCTGCAATGGAATATGGGCTGTATGCTACGACCAGCGGCTAACACGGGAAGTGGCGTCATTTTCCACAAATCTCGTTTCATTCACAACCATTTGACTGCAATTCAGTGCAATTTCTGCCACAAATTCAACTCCACGAGTACGAGGAAACTCAGCGGATCTCAACACGAACGTTGGCCCATCACCTGCAATGGAATATGGGCTGTATGATACGACCAGCGGCTAACACGGGAAGTGGCGTCATTTTCCACAAATCTCATTTCGTTCACCCCAACTCAAATAAAAGTGAAGTACAATTAGGGATTTGTCTTGCATTTCCATCGCCTCAGAATAAATTAACTTCGATAAACTGAGAGAGAATGAGTGAGGCAGCTGGAAGATGAGGATGAAAATAGAGATCAGAAGACTCGACGGAGCAATCGTCTCCGTGCTCTAAGAGAAATCGGAGAATGTCCCAATTAGTATTTCAAGAAGACATCACAATTTTCGAAAATAATAATTTCCTTGCCTCGCAACACCGATTCCTGGCAGCGTTCCCCGGCAGCGCGAGGCAAAGATGTTTTCTGGGAATGTGTGCCGTGTCCTCTCCCGGGCTTTTACGACTCCCTTATCATGGTTATCTGGGTTCGAGGTTTCGTAATGACACAGTCATCATGATCAGGGAGCCCTACACATACTGATCATGATGTCTGTACCCACTACCAGGGAGCCCTACACATATGTGGTATGTGTAGGGCTCCCTGGTCTGTACTGTAGACTACAGACAAGAGTGTGGTGTAGAGGGGCCCATGAATCGTTATTTCTATGCATGCATATGCGCACATGAAAACGGTCAATGCGAAAGGCATGAATCAGGGAGTAGTAAAATACCGGTGTTTTTCTACTCCCTGGCCTGAATAATAAAATTAATAATTATTATGAACCTGTGACGTACATATGTGTGACCCTATCTTTGGAAATAAAAAAATTGTGGGAAATAAAATAAAAAATCGCTCGCTCGCACCGATTTTCACAGGCTCATGACCTGAGAATCAACTTTATTTTGTACCATGGCCTAAGTCTTGGTTTTTACACACTCACGGTGTACTCGGTAACACAGCTTGTCTCTCCTAGAAGAGTGCCGGGTAAAGGAAGAGCTGAGTGTACTTGTACGTGTACGCGCACACACACAAACACGTACAGATGCGCACATGCGCAAAAAACGAGCGTGCACGCACACACACACACACCTGACCTTTGACGCCCATCGCCGGAGGCGATGATAGCAATGCTACGGGAGAAGCCATAGCAACTTGTGCTGGGATTGCACCATTCAACAGCTTACACACACACACACACACACACACACACACACACACACACACACACACACACACACACACACACACACAAAGGCACACACACACGCGCGCGAACACACACATAAAGGCACACACACACACACGCGCGCGAACACAGATGCCATGACAATCATGGTTTGAACAGATATTATTGTTCTCAGAGTAAAGCCGGTCTAGCCAATAGTGAGGCAGATAACAATAACACAAGTAATATCATGGAATGGCAGAACGACAGGAACAGGAATTTTAAAATGAAAAAAATCGACGGCGTGTATTTGAGCCAGCAAACACACAGACACAAACGGAAACGCGCACATACATACGCGCGCACACAGACAGTTGCATTACTCTTCAAGAAGAGCGACTGCGGCAGCAGACCTGAAATCTAGACAGAGCAGCTATCTTAGCCCTTTTCCGGGCCAGCTTTCACCTTCCTAAATGAGCGCACGGATGCAAAAGACCGACATAAAAAACCCAATACGCAATTAGTGAACTAAACAATGCGAAAACAAGCAGGATTAGCAACTATACGGAAAGTAAGATTGACCGGAGCTTGCGCGTACTTGATGACTAAACATGCAGTGCTTTTAAAACTAACAAAATGGAGTGATAATGATGAGGAGGGAGAACATGAATATAAACGCAGACACTGGGCTGTCGGCTGTCGGCTGACCAGACGTTGTGCAGTGCAAAACATGACATTGTGTGGCTACATGAGAAGAGGAAAACGACGGGTATGATGAAGCCGACAGGTAAGTTGGAGCGCGTTAGCAGCAGCAGTAGCAGCAGCAGCAGCAGCAGCAGCAGCGACGCTAAAATCATAGCAGCGAAGCAAGGAAGCTGCAGCAGCCGGAGCAGCAGCTGGACACAGGCAGGTCTTAGTTGATGAGGCCTTCGGTGCCGTCCATGTCCTCATAGCCAATGTCGGTGGGGTCACTTGGTCCCATCTGCTCGTAGCCCTCCTCACCGTCCATGTCCATCACGCCAAGCTTGCCTTGAGCAGCAGCAGCACTGGGGCCAGTACCCGCGGCGGCCGCACGCTTGTCGGACAGCGCCTGCTCGAGATTCTCGCCGCGCTGGTAGGTGTCGTACAGTGGGTTAGTGTAGTGCATCTGAGAGGTACTGTCGCTATTGGGAACGATATAGACCTTATGTCGGCGCGAGCGCAGTATCACCACGGCGATGATGATGACGAGAACAAGAATGCCGCCGACGACAGCCACGATGATGACCCATATCGGTACGGAGGAGCTGCTGCCGGTGTTGCCTTCAGCATTGCCGCCTTCACCTAAACACACATATACATACATACACACACATACGTACATACACACACATGCACACACACAAACACACACACACACGACAAGAAGGGCACACACATCCATGAATATACACAGACAGACAGCTAGACAGACGGACCGACACAATGAAACACTGGACGGAAAAACGAATCTCTACGTGGTAGAATGCAGTACTCAGACAACACTGTTCAAACACTTTGTTGTGATGAGCTCTGCCCTGTGCCTGTGGCATTGGGACACTGTCTGCAGTAACACAGTGGGTGCTTCGTTAATAACAGTTGTCACATCCGCTAAGTAAGCCTCACCCGATATCTGGCAGGAGTCACCGGAATATCCTTCGTTGCAAACGCATTTTGAAGAGGTGTTTCCCTCCAGGAGAGTACATCGTCCCCGGCCATTGCAGTCTTGATTGGCACACGTCCCCACGATGCAGCGCGTACCCGTCCAGCCGGGAGCACACTGGCACACAAATCCCTGCGTGGTCTCGTGACAAGTGGCGGTGTTAGCGCACCGTAGCGTGGCGCACGTGGCCCCGATGGGGTTAGCGCACTTGGCACCGGACCAGCCGGCGTTGCACACGCACACTCCATCAGCACATCGACCATTGCCACCGCAGTCAACTGCTGCACACGGGCCGGCAGTGGCAGCTGTCACAACAGGTACTGCACGTGCATGTGTATGTGCATACACACACACACACACACACACACACACACACACACACACAGACACAGACACAGACACAGACACACACAGACACACACATATATATATATACACACACACATATATATATATATACACACACACACACATACACACACACACACACACACACACACAGACATACACACAGACAGACACAGACACACACAGACACACACAGACACGCACATACACACACACAGACACAGACACACACACACACACACACACACAGACACAGACACAGACACAGACACACACACACACACACACACACACACACACACACACACACACACACACACACACAAACAAAACAGTCAAGATAAAGGAGAGCTATACACAACTTATACTTGGAAGACCGAAGCTTGGGAAAGGGACTCGGAATGTAAGCATTCTCGTTTTTTGACTGGTACGGTCAGTCAATGGTGATTCTCCTAAAGAAGAACGTCCCGTCCCCAGGGCCTTTCCCAACGTATCTAGGAAAACATGTAATTTTAGGTGTACTGAAATTTTGGTGTCAGGGACCTGCCAGGTTTCAGGTGTAATTTAGAATTAGGCGACCAACATTCCCTTCACATACAGTACATACTCTAGTGCCTTTTAGGTGTAATCTAAATTTAGGTGCTGGTTTTCACTACCGAAATCACCGAAATTAAAGTTATACCAAAAGCATCGTGTTTAACAGTATGTAGAAATTTACACACAAATTCATCGCATTTCATCAATTTTCCGGGCACCTGGATAGCAAGTTTGTGGGTGACATGATGAATATATATTGTGTGTGTGTGTGTGTGTGTGTGTGTGTGTGTGCGTGTGTGTGTGAGCGCAAGTGTGTGCACGTGTGCATACTTTGCGTATACACATGGAAACTTACCTATATTCTGGCACGTTGATCCGGCGTATCCCGTCTCGCACTTGCAAGCGGCGGTGAGATTGCTAGCAGTGAGGTAGCACTGTCCACGGCGATGGCAGTCCTGATTGTCACAGGTAGCCTGGACACAGCGCACACCACCCCAACCAGGCGTGCACGTGCACAAGTTACCGTTGACCGTCTCGTGACACGTGCCACCGTTGGCGCAGCACAGAGTGGCGCACGTGGCCGAGCCGCTCGCGCTCGTGCACGTGGCGCCCGTCCAGCCCGTGGCGCACGCGCAGCGTCCGTTTGTGCACGTGCCCCCGTTGCGGCACGGCTTGGGGGAACAGAATATGTCCACCTGGCACTGGGCCCCTGTGAAACCTGTCGCACACTGGCACGTGTACCCAGTGTGTGAGCTCACGCACGTGGCTCCGTTAGCGCACGGTCCCGCGGCGCAGTAGTCCACACGCGACTGGCAGAGGTGACCGGTGAAACCCGTGGTGCATGAACACGTGTATCCCGTCTGTGCGTTGACGCACGGCGCAAAGTTCATGCACTTGTGTCCCTGGCAGTGGTTGATCGACGTCTGACATGTTCTGCCCGTGAAGCCCGCGTTGCACATGCACGTGAAGTCGTTCACGCCGTCCACGCACTGTCCGTTCTGGCACGGCGTTCCGACACAATCGTCGATATTTGTCTGACACCACCGCCCGCTGAATCCCATCGGGCATGTGCAAGTGTATGTGTCCACGCCGTCCACACACGTGCCGGCGTTCAGGCACGGAGCTCCGGCGCAATCGTCCACGTTCGACTGACACGTCCGCCCCGTGAATCCCGCGGCACAGCTGCACGTGAACGCACTGATACCGTCCACACACACACCGCCGTTCTGGCAGGTAACGCCCGCGCAATCGTCAATATTCGTCTGGCACATTTTCCCAGTGAATCCGGCAGCACAGCTGCAATTATAACTATTTACACCATCCACACACGATCCTCCATTCTGGCAGCTCACACCCACACAATCGTCGACGTTGGTTTCGCAACGAGTGCCGGTGAATCCGCTCGGGCAGGTACAGCTGTAGACAGTTATGCCGTCGACGCAAGTGCCACCGTTCATGCACGCACCCGTGACACAGTTATTGATGTTGGTCTGGCACTGTGCGTCGGTGAAGCCAGCCACACATGTGCACGTGTGTGAGTTCACGCCGTCGAGACAGGAGCCACCGTTCAAACAGGTCACGCCAGCACAGTCGTTGATATTCGTCTCGCAGTTCTTACCCGTGAAACCGAGCACACAACTACACGTGTAGGTGTTCAAACCATCCACACACGATCCGTCGTTCCAGCACGTAGCCGCGGCACAATCGTCGATATTCGTCTCGCACATTTTCCCGGTGAAACCAGGCGCGCAGCTGCAAGTGTAAGCGTTCAAGCCATCCACACACGAGCCACCATTCATGCACGTTACTCCCGAGCAATCATCAGGGTTTGTCTGGCAAGTTGCTCCCGTGAAACCAGGTGCGCAGTTGCATGTGTACATGTCGATGCCGTCGACACACAAGCCACCGTTGCTGCACGTAACGCCGGCGCAATCATCCACGTTTGTCTGGCAGTTCTGCCCCGTGAATCCCGCCGCACACATACACGTGTATGAGTTGATTCCGTCCTGGCATGTACCCGAATTCTGACACGGCGCCGTGGCACAATCGTTGATATTGGTCTGACACATAGTTCCCGTGAATCCAGCTGCGCATGTGCACGTATACGTGTTAATACCATCCACACAGCTGCCAGCATTCTTACACGGTGATGCAGCGCAATCGTCAATATTGCTCTGACACATTTGCCCAGTGAATCCCGCCACACAGCTACAGGTGTAGGAGTCGACAGCGTCAATGCATGTTGCACCGTTCTGACATTGGTTACCCGGGCAATTGTCGATATTCGTCTGACATGTCGTGCCCGTGAAACCGGCGGCGCAATTGCAAGTGAAAGAGTTTATGCCGTCGATGCACGTAGCACCATTGCTACAGCTGGTGGCTGTGCAATCATTCACGTTGGTCTGGCATGCCGTGCCGGTGAATCCGCTGGCGCATGTACACGTGAAGGTGTTGAGGCCACCGACGCAGGTTCCACCGTTGCGGCAGCTCGTTGCAGTGCACGTATTGGCCACGTTCTCGCAGTTCGGCCCAGTATAGCCTGATGCGCAGACACAGCTATAGGTGTTGACCAAGTCCATACAAGTTCCACCATTCTGACAGGGTGCTGCGACGCAATTGTCTACGTTCGTCTGACACATGCGTCCCGTGAAACCCGCCACGCATGAGCACGTGTACGCGTCAATTCCGTCCACACAAGTGGCCGAGTTCTGGCATGGGTTAGTGGCACAGTCGTCGATATTTGTCTGACACATTGGCCCGGTGAATCCCGCCGCACACACACACGTGTATGTGTTCACACCGTCCTGGCATGTACCCGAGTTCTGGCACGGCGCGGTGGCACAATCGTTGATATTGGTCTGACACATGGTTCCCGTGAATCCAGCTGCGCATGTGCACGTATACATGTTAATACCATCCACACAGCTGCCAGCATTCTTACACGGTGATGCAGCGCAATCATCAATATTGCTCTGACACATTTGCCCAGTGAATCCCGCCACACAGCTACAGGTGTAGGAGTCGACAGCGTCCATGCATGTTGCACCGTTCTGACATTGGTTACCCGGGCAATCATCGATGTTCGTCTGACATGTCGTGCCAGTGAAACCGGCGGCGCAATTGCAAGTGAAAGAGTTTATGCCGTCGACGCACGTAGCACCATTGCTACAGCTGGTGGCTGTGCAATCATTCACGTTGGTCTGGCACGCAGCACCAGTAAAACCAGCGGCACACTGACAGGTGAAGGTGTTGAGACCGTTGACGCAGGTTGCGCCGTTGAAGCAGCTACTCGCCGTGCATGTGTGTGCCACCGTGCCGCACCTAGGTCCAGTGTAGCCCGCTGCACAGTTGCACGTGTACATATTGACGCCGTCCACGCACGTTCCAGAGTTGCGACACGGATGCGCCACGCAATCGTCCACATTGGTCTGACACATTGGACCGGTGAAACCCGCCACACAGTTGCAGGTATACGTATTCACACCGTCCACACAGCTAGCATTGTTCTGACATTGGTTAGCAACACAATCGTTGATATTCGTCTCGCACATCTTGCCTGTGAATCCGGCCAGGCAAGCGCAGGTGTAACTGCCAAGTCCGTCCACACACCTGGCTCCGTTGCGACACGTGGAGTTCACACAGTTGTCAATGTTCGTCTCACACGATGCTCCCGTCCAACCAGCGGCGCATTGGCACGTGAAAGAAGCGGTGGCCTCTACGCATGTAGCCCCGTTCAGGCAGCTGGTGATGGTGCAAGTGTGGATGACGGCCGCACACGTTGGACCAGTATACCCTGGCGAACACACACACGAGTAGGTGTTGATGCCGTCCTGACACGTGCCACCATTCACGCATGGCTCCACACTGCATTCATCTACGTTGGTCTGGCATCGCTGTCCCGTAAAGCCGGCCACACACGCACACGAGTACGTGGCAATGCCGTCCACGCAGCTTGCGTTGTTCTGGCATGTGTTTCCGACGCAATCGTCGATGTTCGTCTGACACGTGGTGCCAGTGAACCCTAGCGGGCACACACATGTGTAGCGGTCCACGCCGTCCACGCACGTCGCTCCCTGTGCACACGGTGCGGTGGCACAATCGTTGATATTCGTCTGGCAGTGCGTACCGGTGAACCCAGCCACACACATGCATGAATAGCTCTGCAGCGCATCCACACACGTGGCGTTGTTCATGCAGTTGTTGCCGAGGCAATCGTCAATATTCGTCTGACACATCTGCCCGGTGTAACCGGGGAAGCATAGACAGGAGTACGAGGCAATGCCGTCCACGCAGCTTGCGCCGTTCTGGCAGTTGTTGGCGACGCAATCGTCAATATTACTCTGGCAGTACGTGCCCGTGAATCCCAGCGGACACGTACATGTGTAGCTGGTATTGGAGGTCACGCAGCTGGCGCCGTTCTGGCACTTGTTCAGCGGGCAGAAGTCCTGCTGCGTCTCGCAGTGACGGCCGGTGAACGCCGTGGGACACGCGCAGGTGTACGCGCCCAGTCCGTCGACACACGATCCACCGTTGCGGCACACCGCTGTCAGACAGTCGTCAATGTTGGTCTGGCAATGACGACCGGTGAATCCCAGAGAGCAAGTGCACACGTAGTCATTGACGAGATCGAAGCACTGGCCGCCGTTGTGGCACACAACGCCAATACAATCGTTGATGTTGACCTCACAGCGCTGGCCAGTGAACCCGGCTGCACAGAAGCAAGAGTAGGTGTTGACGCCATCGACGCACGTCGCGCCGTTGCTGCAGTTGCTAGCGACGCAATCGTCGATATTCGTGGAGCAGTTGACGCCGGTAAAGCCAGGAGCACACAGGCACGTATAGCTGTTGAGTCCGTCTACACACGTGCCAGCATTGGCGCACACGCCGGGCACACAATCGTTGACGTTGGTCTCGCACGATGCCCCCGTGTAGCCACTCGCGCACGTGCACGTGTAGGAGTTGAGCTGGGGGTTGCACGTACCGCCATTGTGGCAGCTGGCCGGCGTGCACTGGTCGATGATGTGCTGGCACTGGGGGCCGGTGAAGCCGTGTATGCACGTGCACGTATAGCGCGCAATGCCGTCCACGCACGTGCCCTGGTTCAGGCAGGTGACGTTGGCGCAATCATCGATGTTTGTCTGGCACCGGTTGCCGGAGTAACCAGGGGCACATTGACAGCTGTGTGCTGCAATCAGATCCAGGCACGTGGCGCCGTTGGTACAGTTGTTTCCAACGCAATCGTCCACGTTTGTCTCGCAGCTGCTTCCCGTGTAGCCGAGCGGACATTGGCAGGAGAAGGAGTTGATGCCGTCGTTGCACGTGCCGCCGTTCAAGCAGCTGTCAAACTTGCAGTTGTTGATCTGGCTAGTGCAGTAGGTACCGGTATAGTCTGGGAAACAGGCGCACTGATACCCGTTGCTAACGCCGTCCCACGTGCAGTTCGAGTGCGGGCTGCATGAGGAGCGCAGGCACGGGCTGCGTCGCGTCTGGCACTGCGAACCGCCGTACTCGGCCGTGCACAGGCACTGGTAGCGACCGCCGATCAGCGAGAGACACGTGCCACCGTTCTGGCACGGCGGTGCCACCACGCACAGGTCGATGGCGGTGTGACAGGTGCTGCCGGTGAACGCACTCGTGCAGTTGCAGGTGAAGTTGTTGATGCCGTCGATGCACGTTCCCCCGTTGTAGCACGGATTGGGCAGACAATCGTTGATGTCCAACTCACAGTTGAGACCCTGCCAGCCAGGAGCACACTGGCACTTGGCAAAGCCGATGTGATTGGTGCACGTGGCGCCGTTCAAGCACACGTGCTTGGCGCAGTAGTCGATGACGACGTCGCAGAGCGTGCCGTTATAGCCGGTGGCACAGTTGCAAGAGTAATCCATTCCGCCCGGTCCTCGCGAGCACGTGGCACCGTTGGCGCATGGGTTCGGCTGGCACTGATCGGCCGGCAGACTGCAGTCGAGACCAGTGTACTCCGCGGGACAGGCGCACTGGAACGACGTCACGTTGTATATGGAGCACGTGCCGCCGTTAGAGCACGGTCGGTTAGCGCACACGTTGATCGTGTTCTCGCAGCGGTCGCCATAGGACGTGGGCGGGCAGCTGCAGGTGTAGTTGTTGAGGCGGTCGATACACGTGCCGTTGTTCAAGCACGGTGACGAGACACACTCGTCCAGGTCCGTTTCACATCGCAAGCCGGTACGCCACGCGGGACAGTTGCACGTGTAGGACGTCGGTAGAGACACGCACACACCGCCGGCAAGGCACGGCCCCGTCTGGCAGTAGTTGCGCTGGTACTGGCAGCGCGAGCCGTAGAACTGCGCGGTGCAGTTGCACGCCACCGTGGCGCCCGCCTGCATGCACACGCCGCCGTTCAGGCAGTACGAGCCGTTGACGGTGCTGCACAGGTCCAGCGCAGTCTGACACCGCTCGCCGGTCACACCCGGCGGACACTTGCAGAGAAAGCTGCCAAACACGTTGACGCACTGCGCGCCGTTCTGACATGGCGGCTGCGACGACGCTCCCGACCTGGACGCACACTCGTTGACGTCGAGCTGACAGTAGGTACCTGTGTAGCCCACCGGACACACGCACGTGACCGTTGCCAGGCCGTCAATGCACGTTGCGCCGTTCAGGCACTGCCGCAGCAGGCAGTCGTTGGCGTTGGTGTGGCATCGCGTGCCACTCCAGCCTGTCACACACTTACACGTGTAACCATTCAGGCCGTCCTGACAGGTCGCGTTGTTCTGGCACGGCGACGATTGGCATTCGTTGATCTCCGTCTGACAGGCACGGCCCGTGTATCCCGCACTGCAGCTGCACGAGTATGAGTTGACGGCGTTGGTACAGTTGCCATGGGCACCGCACGGCGCAGCCAGGCAATTGTCGATCAGCGTGTCGCATTGCACCCCTGTGTACCCGGCCTGACACTGGCAGGAGAACTGCATCGAGAGCAACGGCTTGCTACACGTACTGGCATAGTTGGTGCAGCAGCCGCCGAGCAGCTCGCAGCTAGCGTCGCACTTGCAGATGGAGCCGACGCTGGGCTGGCCGCATCGGCCGAAGCACGACGATGTGAAGATGGTGGGCAGGTTGTTGTAGTCGAAACACGTTGCGTTGTTCTTGCACGGCGACAGCGTGCAGCCATTCTTGAAGTACTGACATTGGCTGCCAGTGAAGTTGCCGGTGCACGAACAAGAGTATGCTGCTGCAGGTGTACAAAACATGGACAAGCAGAGAGACATGCATATGTGCACAGACGGACAGGAACCGATATACAAACATATGCACACACGCACATGCGCACGTGCGCGCACACACACACACACAAACAAACACAAACACACACACACACACACACACACACACAGACACACACACACACATACACACACACACACACACACACACACACACACACACACACACACACAAATGAGAGAAAGCATGAAAGAGGGGAATACTGTTACCTAGACTACTGTTGCTGTCGTCGTTGTCGTCGTCGTTGTCGTCGTTGTTGTTTCAAGTCTTTACTCTCACACAGGCCTGTGGCCAATAAGAGATAAAAGTGTGTAAGAGGAGAAAAAGTGAGGAAAGTTGGGTGGGCAGGGATTAATGACTACTCAGTTACGTGTATGGGCAAGGGTGGTCGCTACACGAGCATACAGAGTTATGGTCCAGTAGGGATATCTGGGAGTTAACGGAAGTTAGGAAGGCATTTCGTGAAGCTGGGTAGGCAAACAATTCAAGTCATGAATTTGTTATCGTCATTCTTGTTGGACTTACACGCTGTGCCATGGTTTCTGTTGCAGGTAGCGCCGTTGAGACAAGGGTTGGTTGCACACGGGTTGGTGTGCTGCTCACATCTGCTGCCCTTGTAGTCTGCCGTACACTGACACGTGTACGCGTTCAAACTGCTCTCCGTGCAAGTACCTCCGTTCAGGCAAGGCACGGTGTTGCAGCTGCACAGGGAAAACCGACGCACACACAACCAGCGGACATTATAGTCAAAATATACATGTATGTGACCAATGCCCCCACGATAACTGCAGCAGCAACGACAACAGGAGCAGCAGCTACAACAGCAACAGCAGCAGCAACTGCAGCAGCGACAGCAACAGCAGCAGCAGCAGCAACACCACCCCCACGGACATTTCTAGCCCAGCCCAGTCTATCGTATCCGGGAAGAAAAAAGAAGTCTGATTGCCGCACGTGAACAGAAAAGACTGTAGAAGGCATGGCATAATGTCGAGAGTGTCCTCTCTGTGCAAGCAGCAGCTTTATCACCAACCCCAAAACTCACACTCCGCCAATGTTGACGTTGTCGATCTCAAAGGCGTCATAAGTGTCGTTGTGATCCGGTTGCCACCACCTGAAGCGTACTGCATTGCCTCTGGCTGCAGATGGAATGCTGATAGTGATGTTCAGATCTATGCAAGCACACAAGAAGTTGGACACATTCGGGCATACTGAGCAATAGCAGCAGCAGCAGCATCTCTAATATAGGGGACCAACATGTATGAAAGTGGACCAGCACCACCACCAACGCTTGATTCTGTGTGTGTGTGTGTGTGTGTGTATGTGCACGTGTGCGTGTGGATGGGTGTGTGGTGTGTGCATGCATGGAGGGGGATATAAACAATTACCAAAGACAACTTACTTCCTGACGTCTGCGTTCCAAGATTGTTATCTACAGACGGGAAGGAGAACAAGGGAGCACACAAGAAAGTGGTAGTCAATCGTTTTGCTGCATAGCCCGTTGCACCAGTATCCAGCAGACAATACCGGTATGCATGCACTACACACTACAAGGAGTGTTGCCCTGTGCTGTGATTAGTGACAGCCATTACGGTAGTATCCAGTGACCCAACGCCGCGGTGTAAAGTACTAGCTATGCTGTGTGCTGTGTGCTGTGTGTTCTTCACATCAAGCGCTATTTGGTCTATGCTCTGACCGCCAAATATGCTGTTGGCGCCACTAGCGCTATTTTTCAGGTGCTATTTTTGTCAATGCTCTGCCCGCCAAAAGTGCCGGTTATAAGGACTTGCTTACTACCTTGCTAATCACCATTGTATTCGACCTGAAGAGTAATGGAATGAAAGGCCTAGTCGAAAAAATTATATGGCTTCTGTGCTTCGTGTGCTGATTTGCTTTCCTCCAACCAAACATCTATTGTTCTTCACATATATACGAACTTGCACAACTTCACCTTCCTTCCTCCTTCCTTCGTCCATTGCCACAATTGGCTATGTGTGGCCCAACTTCAAACGCACACGTACACGGATCCACACATTTTTCACATCAGTCAGTTCTGAAACCAGGCCTTACCGATCTGCATCAGAGACTGATAGTAGTGTCCACCATTGCTAGAGTAGAGAACAAACACGGCACTGTATTTGCTGGCCAGCGAGCAGTGGCCCACAGACGGCACAAAGCTGAACGTGATCTGCGTGGCAAAGGTGGTGTCCATGTCGATGGTGGTGGCGCGGCGGAGTCCGATCTTGCCGAAGTGAAGACGTGAGCCGGATACGCCGGGTGCTGCACGTCAGTCATGCATGCATTAGTGAGAGCACACATACACATACACACATACACACACAGACACACACAGACACAGACACACCCATATGCACATATACACACACAGAGAGGCACAGACACAGATTCACACAGCAATACATACACACACACGCAGACAGACAGACATGCACACATGCACATACATACACACAGCCACATACACACACAACCACAGACACAGGCGCTAGAGATGGTTTTCACAGCCAGGCAACGTGACATGACGGAACAATGAGAGCTGTGTACAAATTGCCATGGAAACAAACAAACTTGCCATGGAAACAAACAGTCCACAGGCACTTCCTCGACGTAAAGTTACCAAAAAATGCTATTAAATAGGGCAAAGATACGCCCCCCCCCCCCCGCCTCTTACCACCATCACCATAACAACCCAAGCCAGCAAACAACACACGTGATGGAGACTTACTTGGAGCAGTTGAGCAGCCAACTGTAGTGCGTACGGCTCCCATCGTCTCCATCCACAACGCACTGCTGGTGGCGCTCACCTCAAAGTCATCAATGATCACGTCCGGCAATTTGCCGGCCGGCTGACAGTCAGTTCCGTTATACCCAGTGTCACACACACACTTGCCATTGGTCTGCAAACAAATACAAACCAATACAAAAAGTGTTAAAGGCGCACAACTGACAGGGATATCGAGACATTCGACGACCTGATACCTAGCTCTTCTGCCTTGTTGTCGCACTATATGGCTGTATACTATCTCGTTACCTTGGTGGACTGTCACTCATAACTAGTCACTTATAGGTCCTTTTCTCTTTACTTAGTTACTACTATAGGCGCACTATCCGAGTTTTGTTTAGTAACTGTTGCCAGTAGTTACTGTTGCCAGTAGTTACTGTTGTCATTTGATACTGTTGCCAGTAGCTACTGTTGTCAGTAGCTACTGTTGTCAGGAGTAACTGTTGCCGGTAGTTACTGTTGTCAGTAGCCTCTGTTGTCAGTTGTTACTGCTGTCAGCTGAAGGGAGCTGGCCATTATAAGAAGGGGGAGAAGAGTCTCTTTCTCTCCCTCTCTCTCTCTCTCTCTCTCTCTCTCTCTCTCTCTCTCTCTCTCTCTCTCTCTCTCTCTCTCTCTCTCTCTCTCTCTCTCTCTCTCTCTCTCTCTCTCTCTCTCTCTCTCTCTCTCTCTCTCTCTCTTCTCTCTCTCTTTCTTCTCTTCTTCTTTCCCCCCCCATCTCCCGATAATTATTAGCCCCCGTTTTCTTTCGACGCGTTTGCTGTGCAGTGAAGCCGAGACCCTAGGTCGGTGGAGCACATCAGACCCCGTCACCACGTCCACGATTCATGCCTGCGATGCTGCACCGCTGCTTTGCATGTCATGATTGGAAGCTGTGGCCTTAGTAAAAAAAAAAAAAAAAAAAAAAAAAAAAGAGAACACAAGGCTACCCCAAACCCGATCGCCTCCACAATGATCGTGTTCCAACAGCCTACCTGGCATGTCCCGTGTCCACGGCAGGCGAACGGACACGCGGCCGAGATCAGCACGTTGTCGAGTGCGTATCTCATGTTGAGTCGCTTGATGGTCAACGACGACTGCGCGGGAAGCAGGTCCTGCAGTGGGACAGAAAGACAAGAGACAGAGCATGAGCCAACAACCGACGAGAAGACCCTTCTTCATCTTTTATTATTGAGAGCCTAGTCGTATGGTTAGACGAGAAGGCAGAAATGCCGGTGCACACGGTGAAAACAAACAAACAAACAAACAAGCCCTTCATCTTCCACACTTTTCACCTTCTAGACACTGACACATGCAATACAATGATCACATATCAATGATGCAGCCCGGCAAGTCTTATTCTGCCGTTACTCAGAGTTTTGTGTGAAACACACATCAGACAGCATGATATGACCAAGACTAGCATTCATGACCAAGAAAAGCATTCACTAGAATATATACAGAGGGTCTTGAGAAAAGAGGGCAGAGGTGATGGAGCCACATGTACTGAGACAAGCAAGTATAGTAAAAGCTGTCAAGGTGACCACTCGGATAGGGCGACCACCTGTCCTAGAAGACCACTGAAACCAGGATCAAGGGATGCTATTTCCAGTCAAATGACCCTGGATAAGGAGACCACCTGGTAACAGAGACCAAGTTTTGAAGGTCCCCGGCATGAGCGGTCGTCTTAGACAGGTTCCACTGTCGGTGAACAATTTGCGATAAAATACCAGTACATGTAGTCCGTAGTTGGGACACAGGGTGCGATGTAAGATATTGAGTGAAGTTTCGTACAAAAATTGCCTGCATTGACTGTAACAGGACCTCCAGCTTCAAAAGTGAACATATGCGCTACGCCAAGATACTATCTCGGCTCAAATGTGAACATATCGTCACGCCAAGATATCTCGGTTCAAAAGGTGAACATATGCGCTACGCCAAGATACTATCTCGGTACAATGTGAACATATCCGCTATGCCAAGATATCTCGGTTCAAAAGTGAACGTATCCGCTATGCCAAGATAATAACTATCTCGGTTCAAACGCAAACACGGCACAGGACACAGCACAGCTGTTGAACGCTGGCTTACCGACTGCCATCTGAACATCGTGTTGCTGGTGATCTGGTTACTGGGTACCATCACAAAGAAGCGTTTCCAGCCGGAGTTGGGCAAGAAGAACCATGCTGATGGCTCGTTGATGATTCCAGATGGACACTGCGGCACACCGTAGGAGTAACTCTTCGGTTTGCATGTTGTCGACACCTGGGAAAATAATCACGGACATCACAGCATATATAAACTATACCTTTCTTGCACCCCAGCCACATCAGAGCACACACGTGCACACACGATCGAAACAGAAAAGAAGGACTTTGGCATGTCGTGCGGAGTGTCAAGTCGAATGCCATGTCGGAGGAAGCTCCGTATTGCAGGCGCCATATTGTTTGGTCGGTAAGGTTGCCATGACGTGCGGCATACGTGACCACAGCCAACACGCTGGTGTGGGTGACGTATGAACAGGCATGCAGCGATAGCGCAAGCGTGCAGTGGAGCATGAGCATGCACTGATGCAGTAGCAATGCAGGAGATTTGAGTAGCATAGTTTGAGTGGTAGCTCGCACCAGTGTGCACCCGTTAATCTGCATTATTGCTATAATGCTACGCTTACACGCACACACACACACACACACACAAACACACACATGCACGCACGAACACACACACACACCTCAGACCTCAGACCTGCCCATCGCGGAAGCGATGATAGAGAACAGCTATGTTAGACATACCAACTTGTGCTGGGATTACACCATTCAACAGCTTGCAAGGCTGATGAATTGACCGCCACTATTTTAGCCTGGTATCCACCACACAGCTGATTGAAGTGACTTTTTCTGGCCAGTGAATCCCTATTTTTCATTTTTCCATTTTTTTACACACACACACACACACACACACACACACACACGCATGCATGCGCACACACACACATACACACACACACACACACACACACACACACACACACACACACAGATCACACACGCACACACGCACGCATATCACATGCACACACGCATGCGCGCACACACACACACATACACGCACGCATGCACACGCACGCACACACACACACACACACGCACACACACACACACACACACACACACACACACACACACACACACACACACACACTCAAACACACATTCTCTCTCACCATATTCCAGGTCAATCCACCGTTATTGCTATACTCCAGCTTGACAAATGCTGCACTTCCCACAGAGTTGTACAAGGCTAGCTCGGACGACGTAAGGGTACAACTGAATGCCAGACTGAACTGAACAGCAGCCGGTGATGAAGGGGACACAACCACCGTTCGGGCTTGACTGGTTGTGAACACTGTTCCAAGACTGAACAAGCACAGAGTAAGCACACATCACCACATGTCAACGCCGCACAGACAGGAAGTTACCAATTCCACACAGTTACTAGTTATGGCAACCAGTTCTGAAAAAGCCAAGTCCTGGTTTGACTAGAAGCGAAGGGGAAATACAGGGCAGGGGTTCATGCCAGGTTTTGCAAACACCCGACGGTCTGCACCATACCCGTATTCTTCCTGAGTGCATTGCTGTGTCGTGGCTCTCAGCCAAAGCTCCCAGCTGATGATGTGATCACAAAACCTCTAGTGAACGAGCAGCAACGGAGGATCACTTTTAAAATAAGCGAACGACAGATTTTCATGAGCAGCAGCGGATGAGGACTTGATAAGCTGAAAGACAGTATTGCATGAGCAGCAACGGAGGCGGAGGAGGAGGAGGAGGAGGAGGAGGAGGAGGAGGAGGAAGAGGACTGGTTGAGCTGACAGATAGCATAGCATCAGCTCCAGCACTGCCTTAGTTAGACCCCACGGTTGGCCCATCAAATTTCTCGACCGATGTCGTCTTTTATCAATGTAACCGTCGTCACTATGTTATATTGGCCTATTCCATATTCAATTTTATTGCCAGTTTCTGCGGATTTGTAGGCATGCTTGGCAATTAACATCCTGCAATATTATTTTGTAGGTGCATGACAATCATTGAATGTATTTCATGTACTACAATTCGTACAGGACTTAATAGCCGGCGGCTGGCATGGTACAATAACCTTTTTCTTCTTCTTCTTTTTCTTTTCATCAATGGCTTTTTCTTTCACCTCAAATAGTTCTTCACAATCTGTGTCACAATTTGTGGGTTCAGCAATAAGGATATAACCACATTGAACGGACTGGGTGCGGCTAAGAAAAAGAAGAGACATACCAGGGGTGTAGGACATGGCACGATCACTACAGTATTGACCGTACCCGTGAATCAAAACAATACTGATCTGGGCTCTAAATTTCCAATTCTTTTGGCTCAGCCATCCCTCCCTCCCGAGTAAATTGTACTTCAGATGGCTGACCCTACCACACTAAAATACCTTCCAGCTTCCAACAAGAACGAAGGCCATGTTTTCATTCCGCGTGCGCAATATGAGACATGTGAAAAGGTGGTCGTAATATTATGACTATCTGTGCATAGCCCTGCATACACTGCTGGCTAGACTTACTCGCGTTGCAGATAGGTGAGAGCCCGACCAGTGGAAGAGCAGAAGCCAGCCACCGTTCCACCGTACAAGTTAGACCAGTAGTTTCCGTTGATTGGATCGAACGTATCGTAGATCTGAGTCAGCTGGGACATAGGCGGACCGATGCGCACCGCATCGATTGCCCACTGGTTCTGACCATTGGGTTCTGCATCGCGAATGAACACACGGGCACATGAACGCAGGGACGCATGGACACACGGACACACACACGCAGATACACAGACAATATACACATGCCGAAACGAACACACACACGCACACACACGCGCGCACACCAGGTAAAGTTAGGAGGGGGTACAAGATACCTGGCCAGCTCTTCAACGATTCTTTGGGTCTGATAGGGCTCGAACGGGATGACGCCAGATGTCAAAATCTACAAACACAAAGTAAAGTGAAGGATGTGGCGGATGGCCACCGTGTGTCACATGTTGGTGTCGTTTTTCTGTACCAGGAGTGGGTCCTTGACCGAGAGGGGCCAGTCCAGTCGCTACCGCTGGATGTGTGATATGCTGTGAAGGGAAACCTCCCAAAAAGTGTATGGATTTAGGCGCCTAGCTCGTGCATAGTCAGCGTAGTCCGGTCAACACACCACACATGTCTGAGCTATGTCCATGTATGTGAGTTATGCCCATATATGTGAGTTATGTCCATGTATGTGAGTTATGTCCATGTATGTGAGTTATGTCCATGTGTCTGAGCTATGTCCATGTGTCTGAGCTATGTCCATGTATGTGAGCTATGTCCATGTATGTGAGCTATGCCCATGTATGTGAGTTATGGCCCTGTGTCTGAGCTATGCCCCGTGTGTGAGCTATGCCCATGTGTCTGAGCTATGTCCATGTATGTGAGCTATGCCTCTGTATGTGAGCTACACCCCTGTATGTGAGCTATGCCCATGTGGATCCATGAGAAAACTGGATCCAACTGGGTCCGACATTCAGCGTTGCCATGACTGTAGACTGGCTGTGCTGTAGTACTTTCAAGCCCTATTGCCCTTGGTGAGGTGTGAGGGTGCTTAGCTTCCTTGTTGTGTCTACTGCTTCCATTCCCTCATGCATAGCATGGCTTTATCTTGCCCGAATAATGCAGTTAAAATGAGCGCTCGCTACTAGCTCGCTGGTGAACAGAACTTACGCACTCCGACTTGGTAGAGGCGGAAGCGGGTGTTGACAGACTTGGCACCGGATGGTAGTGTCATGTTGAACTGCCTGCACATTCACACGTCCACACAACATACAGCAGCCAGTATGCTTAGAGATGTCAAAGTGTTAGGAGAGATAGGTAGATGTATGTATGTATGTATGTATGTATGTATGTATGTATGTATGGATGGATGGATGGGTGGGTGGATGGGTGTATGGATGGAGGATGGATGGATGGATGGATGAATGGATGGAGGATGGATGGATGGATGGATGGATGAATGGATGGAGACAGACAGAGAGACAGTGAAGAAACTGCGTTTAGTACTTGGTCTGTCATGTGTGTGTGGTATGTGTGTGTGTGTGTGGGGGGTGCTAGGGTGAAAACCGCCATTCCTGGCTAGCCACTCTACTCTGCTCTCCTGAACTTACTTGGGTGTGAGGAAGTCGTTGGTGAACACTCGGAGTGTAGTCCACGTGGTGCCACCATTCTTAGAGTACTGCAGTAGCAGGTAATCACTGGTCAGGGTACTGGTCTCACACGATGTCAGTCGACCACTGGAACCCTGACGCAAGTAGAACATAATGGAGGAGTCGACCGCGGTCGTGTCCATGTCCACCGTGACTGCTTGTCGCAGGCCGGCGCCACTGAAGTAGAGATTGTTTCCGGAGGAGATGACGCCGCACGATGCACTCGTTGTAGCGCTGACAATCTTACCGCCTAGACGTACACAGCAGCAGCAGCAGCAGCAACAACAGGAGCATGACACAGTGTATGGACAGGCATACAGCAGGGGCGTCGCTGGTCGCCCTTTCAGGGGGGGGGGGGGGGGGGGGGGTGTGCATGGCCCTATAATTATTATGTGTAGCATGGCTGGTGCATGGCATTCATGGTCATTATGTGCATGCTGAACCTAGGTCGAAATGTTTAGGGGGTGCACGTGCCATCCTGTGCCCCATGCGGGCTACGCGCCTGAGTGCTAGCCTATATCCGGACGGATTGGCAGCAGATGATGGATGCATATCCATCTATACAGGAGTGAAATAAGCACCCACTAGTGTGCAACTCTGCGAAATAAGCACCCACTAGTGTGCAACTCTGCAGAGTTGCACACTAGTGGGTGCTTATTTCACTCTTGTATAGATGTATACAGTGTTGCCGACGCCGAAACCCCACATCACGTGTTCCAGGTACGATTTGTACTGCGTACAACGAAGGCTAGCGTGCTATTTTCAACTCCATTGGTCGCTAAAAACGGGCTGGGAGCGTACAAGAGGAACACTAGACAAGGTGATGTGAGTTCCTGCCATCGGCAGACCCCATAGAAAAGGTTTCCAGAGTTACACACTCTTGAGAGCTTACGTACTCCTGATCTATACAGTAATACACTTGAAAATATTAATTTTATAGACAGATAGATGTTTTAAATTTGACTGTAGTGGTATATCCTTGGGCATTTAATTGTTTTATTTCGAATAACCTAGCCCTGTTTTATTGCTCTGATACAGAGACAGACAGACATCTCAAGCTTTCGGAGAGACAGCAGCAGGGTTAGACGCATTCTGAGCGCACCGTACATTCACAGTGAAGCAGGAAAACGTGTACACACTCTACAGCCTACCCTCGGGCATGTGGCAGTAGGTCACACAGCAAAAGATATTGAGTGTGGCTCACATACCTGACTATGGGGTATTCTGCATTGTGCGGAGTAAAAGCCACCCTTTAAACACCAATAGTTCACTCCAAAAGAAAAAGTCGGTGCGGCTTATACTACGATGTTCAAGCTGACGGTGATAAACAGGTTCGTTCAGCTTGCTACTCAGAGTTTCATGCACTGGTAGGTGCAAACTGAACTCATGTCGTTTTTTTGGTGACCATTGTTTATATCTTCAGATAGTAGTGCTGTTCTGCCGCAAGACATTGAGCCCTCTTGTGCAGTGGTTGCTCCCACGCTTGGTAGTACAGTAAAGCTTGTCAAGGCAACCACCTGGATAAGGCGAACACCTGTCCTAGAAGACCACTGGAACCAGGATCCAGGGATGCTATTTCCAGTCACTTGACCCTGGATAAGGCGACCACCTGGTAACAGAGACCACATCTTGAAGGTCCCTTGAGCGGTCGTCTTAGACAGATTTCACTGTACTACCATATCATAATAATAATAATGTTATCAGCATATTTACCTTGTACCAGCTGCCAGGTAGCTGCGGACAGCGCTCCGCTCTCAAAGTCGTCGCTGATCAGCTGCAGTCGCGCGGTAGCCGCCGTGTTGCAGTCCGTACCGGAGTAGCCGCTGTCGCACACGCACGTGGGCGACGGGCTCGCCGTGCACGTGCCGTGGCCGGAGCAGTGGTTGGGACACGGCGCGCCGATGTAGACGTTGTCGATGGAGAACTGTGGCATCTGTGTGGTGGTTGCCAGCACGGTGGGACCGACACGGAAACGCACGTTCCTGTGTGTGTGTGTGTGTGTGTGTGTGTGTGTGTGTGTGTGTGTGTGTGTGTGTGTGTGTGTGTGTACAGTGCACGCACGCACGCACGCACACAAACAAAACAGACAATGGGCACACCGTGCAGAGTGGCCAGGGTGCAGCATCCGTCTTGAGTTGATTACACAACACACACTCCCAGCTGTGAACAACACATTTCTGCTGTCCAGATGCTCATCGTGTTCACATACACCGTTGTCTGACATGTTTCAAAAACAATGCACAAAGTACCTACAGTAAATCAACAAATATTCGGCGAATATCTATTTTCGGCCGAAAATTTGTCGACTTACAGTAGCTGCATGACGTTTTAGGGCGACTGCCAGCACGGTTTAATTGCACGGTTTAATTGCACGGTTTAATTGCACGGTTTAATTGCACGGTTTAATTGCACGGTTTAATTGCACGGTTTAATTGCAGGGGACAGAAAGCAATGAACGCACCGGGTTTCATCCACATCCTAATGCACTGGGTCATGATCTGTTAGTGCTAGCTAGCTCTAGCCAGTTCACACAGCTCATATGATGGTGATTTAGGGGGATTTACGCCTCTCAAACCGTCCAGGAAGAGGAACTCCCATTAGCGTGAGCAAATGCCATCGGTCCCTTGGTGTTCGTCCTAAAGAGATTTGACGGTGGACGATACCTGAATGGCTAAAACAACTTGTAAAGGACTTACATCTGATCGGCAGTGAACTGCCAGGAAATTCTCTGGAACGTCTTGAAGGCATTATCGTAGCCGTAGTAAGTGGAAGGGAGTGATTCGTACGGGCACGCTGACGAGGGCGTGATGCTGCGACAGTTCAGACCGTTCACCAGGTTGTAGTTGCTGGCATTGGTGCTCATCGTTAGCGGTACGGGCAGGAGATTGAGTCCGGCCGTGCTGCTGTACGACGTTGTACAGCCGATGCTCAACTGCACACCCATACATACATGCATGTACACACACACACACACACACACACACACGCACGCACGCACAGAAACACGGACAGGTGAGGGTTGGCCGGGAGAGGTAGACAGAGGCAGTAGCGAGAGTAAACGGCATCCATTTCTTATTCAGCAAACCTGTTAGCAAAGTATGATGTGTCCACTACGGTTGAACATGTTTGAGTTACGGGTGAGTCTGTCCCGAGGGTGCCCGAATAAGAGCGGTCCTATAGTGTATGTCCGTTCAGTCGTCCCTCATTAATCCAGAACTTTATAAACCAGCATTCTCTATAAACCAGCAGCGTATTGTTCAGTCGCAAAGTGTCCTCTTTATGCACATTGCAGCAGCGAATCAGATTTGTTAATCCAGCACTCTCCCTAATCCAGCAGAATATCTTTAGCAGAAACGGTGCCGGAATATAAAGGGACCACGGTGGAAACTGTCCCTCACCTCAAACATGACAACATCGTTAGCATTCACGTTCATCGGCACGGTCTCCGCAAAGTGGAAGGCACCGTCGAGCGTGGCAGCAAAGTCCAGCGCAGAGCCCTGCGTCCCGGGGCACGACGAGCCGCGGACACCACCGGGGTACCACAGCCAGCCGGTAGACACACCCGTGTTGAAGTTATCTACCAAGGAGGTCGGTAGCGGGGCCGTGCCGGGTCCGATGTAGAAATTGTCAACTGCCCAAACATCGAAGTTGGCGCCCGTGAACTGCGTCTGCCAGAAGCGGAAGCGAATGTGATCCGTGCGGTACTTCATTGGTATCGCAAACTGAACTTGAGACGGGACCTGCATGGCACGACACGATCACAACAAAAACAACCCACGCAGAAAGGAAGATATTGCAAGACATGTTATTGAAACGAGTCGAAAAAATTTAACGCTCGTCCAACATTCGTAGGTTTGCGAGAAGATACGTTAACGATCTTGCAGTCTTCAGGCATAGCCGCACATAACACATACAGGGCATTACAGCCTCAACAGAACTTGTTATAACGAAGAAATGCCATCCGTTAAAACATTTACTTCCTCGTTACATTTTACATGTTGTATACAGTAGAGGATCTCCACTAAGGTCGCAGTTTGACACTCACTCACACATACTTTGATACGTTCGTGTGCGTGTACATGCGCCTGGACTTCTTTTGAAGTACATTTTCATGACTGCATTCTCTGTTTGCTGTTCAAATGCCCTAAAGGACACTTGGTAGAAGGACAATGTGGTGACAGCCGACACAAGGTCAATGGACAGTGTGGCGCAAGTCAACCAACACACATGATACGAAGACAATTGATAGAAGGACAGCGTGGCGAAACACACAGCAGCAGTGCCTGCTTCAGATCCGGATGAGCCAGCATAGTCACAACAAGAGAGTAAATTATTGTGCCCGTTTCTGAGGGAACTCACACAACGGCCACTAATAGCCGGTATATCCAGAGTCAGTGATCTGGCTGACAGGATGCATACACCTGGTTAAACAGGAATCGGCCAGTTGCGCATCAGAGCTGGGTTATCATGTCTGCATACGCTTTCACCTAACCTAGCTAGGGTGGACGGACTTGGCCAGAACGTTGTGCCAGGTACAGATGTACTATGTGCTAGTAAGCTGACACCCAGGCTTAAGTTGAGGGGGGGGGGGGGGGCTGAGCCTGTGCTGACAGTTGACAGAAGGACAATGCTGTGGCAATCATTCGGCAGAGTAACAGCAAGAGTAACTGACCAGGGGATTGTACGGGTATTGGTTGTAACCCAGGGTCTTCCAGTACGTCCAGGTCATGCCGTAGTCTAGCGAGGCGAGCAGGAGGACATCCTCGTTGACCTCAGCACCGTCACAAGAGCCGGAGCCACCGATGCGGAAGAAGAACGTCATGATCTCCGCAGTGCGCGTGTCAATGTCCACGCTGGTTGCCTCGCGCCGGTCTGGTCCATC